GACGCAATTGGGTCAAAGTGGTGCAGTCACGAAGGTGGCCGGCCGAGGTTTCAACGATACTGCAGTAATCGTGCATTTAACCGTGCACCTCCATGAGAATAGTTGCGGCTGAAGGGCTGTTCCAGAAACGGTGCCACGAACAAAGGAACCACGTGCACGCTCGCTGCGCTTCTGCGCCCATGTCGCGTGACCTCTCTCTACCCTAGCTGTCCTTCTCCTTTTTCTCTTTATATTTCATCTCTCCTTCTCCCTCCCTCCCTCCCTCCCTCTCTCTCTCTCTCTTTCATCCGTCCATTTGATCCTCTCGTTTCCTCTCATTGTTCTCCGTTTCAGGACTGTCTAGTCTATATCTTCGTCTATTGTTCGTTCACCGGCTGTTTGTCCCCGATTCTAGCTACGCCAAATGGACACGCGTACCACGTACCACGTACCACGTCCCACTGGATAGTTTGCACAAAGCACGGTCGCACGATTAGGTGAATGAAGCGCGTCAACGTGTCAAAGCAGAGCACCGCAAAGGCGTCACCGTGGACAAAGCTATCTGGACACGATCGTAAAACCGCTCTCGCGACCGCGACGCGACCGACCGACCTTCCGTGAGCATGGTTCCACCGGTGGCTGTCAAAATGATAGCCGACACCGTGTAACGAGCCAGTGGCCAACGAGTTCTACGATTCACAGCGAGCTAACGAGCAGACCTTGGAAGTCTAGAGTCACCGAGAAACTGGATCGTCGACCGGTAACGTTTTAAGTCGTTCCGGTAACATTAACCGGGAACGATGGGTCTTCTAAAGCTTCGGACGCGTGCATGTCACTTATACCGGTGAAAACGGAGGAGTTTCAGATGCACAAATTGAAGCAATACTTCGCTGAAAATGGAGTTTTTACCGATAGAACGCGAGCAGAAGATTCAATTCCATTTTAACTAGAAGAGACTTTGAAGTCGGTAACCGAAGAAAGGATGAAAATTGCGAGAGAGAAGGAAAGTAGATATAGAATATCGGAACGTTGTTCGTACTTAATGGGAACGAAGCTTCCATCCACGATGGAGGAAGCAAACGAGATGAAACGCTCGCGCGGTGATAAATTGGAGCGAAAACCTGTTTATACTGTTTATACTAATGACCGACTCTTGCAATGTTGCGCGAGCGAAGAAATCGAAGAATCTTCCGTTACCCTTTATTCACCGTCTACGAGTTACCTCTGCACTGCAGATACGTTTCATTCTAATAGAGGAACATCTGAATTATAACACAAATAAATTTGTGTTACAAACTGTGAGCTTTAAAAAAGATATATAAAATTTTACACGCTACATTTTCTTACTTTCTGTCGCAATTTTTCTCTCTGTATACCTGTCTCTGTTTTTGCTGCCCTTGTTGTCGAACTAACTTTACAATTTCACTCCTTTTTCAAAAGCAACGTCTGACCCATTGTTCTTCCTCACTTTTCATAAACCTGTCGCTACTCAGTTTTAAGCTGTCGCTTTTCTTTCTTTATACTCCTGAGCCAACTACTTTTTTCTTCTATGTTCCACGACAATAACTCTTGTCTATGATACTCCGTTTGCACTTCTACTCCGCATTAAGACCCAGTAATTAAAATGAATTAAATCGTTTCTTTCTCTAACAGAGTCTGTCGCCAAGAATCTTTCCGCGAGACTTCACTCTCTTTCGGTACGCATTAGTTGCTGTTAATTTATTGTCATTCCAAATTATCGAAACATTACTTTGAAATTCAAATTTCACGAGCGGCTACAGTTTGTCGTTTCTGTCCGAGCAAAACCACATTTACACCAAGTCGTATTACGTTCGTGACTCGATATTACAAGTTAAAATAAACTCCTTACGTCTCGTAGGAAATGAAAATAAAAATTAGCCGACATCGATCGCGTGGGCATCGTTCGTTGTTCGTTAGACATTCAACGTACCTATGCTAGATATTAATTAACGGGCATGCAGTACGCGGCGAGCGAACAGTAACAATCACCGAAAGATAAGCCTCGTGGCGAACGCACAAAGCTGCAGCTACCCGCGAGATCGCGGCTCCAGCGATACGTATGTATGTGCGTGTGTATATATATATATATATATATGTGTGTGTATGTATGTATGTACGCATGTGTATGCGTTCGCGTTTACGCAAAGCACGCTCGCGCGATCCAATGAATGAAACACGTAAACGTGCCAGGTCGCGAAGCCACGAACGCCACGCAACTATACGCAATCGGGTTCTCGCGGAGAAACAGAGAGAGAGAGAGAGAGAGAGCAGCAACGACAACCGGAGGAGATCCCATAAGATTCCCTGGCCATTAATAAATATAGTTACGCGCGCAAAATTTATGATCTCACCCTCTCTCTCTCTCTCTCTCTCTCTTCTTCTCCCTTCTCTACTGTCGTAATACGCCAAGCGTATATTTCTCCATTGGCTAGGTGCTTAATAACGTCGATTTATAATAGTTAGCCGGACCAGACGACTTTGAGAAGCGTGCAATCGCTGCCTCGATATCGCGCGACCGACGTCTAATAATAAATTTTGAAGAATTACTCAGGCCCAAGGTGAAAATTCGGCAAAATGCTATAGTCAGTGTTAGTGGATCGTTCGTAGCCTCGCATCCGGCCCCATAGTTTCCCTCTATTTTTCCACCAGCGACGATGTAATTTATGATACCATCCGTATCCCGTTCTAGCGATTCGATGTAATATCGCCGGTCGTTTTAAATCGTCGGCGAGCTAACGTCGTGATACCGGGGCACGCGGTTTCGAGGAAAGTTTCAGGATGAGTAGTTCGGTTAATGGTACTCTGATTGAGAATTAATCTAATCGGTGCTCCAGGGGAGATCAGCGAGTAGAAATATTTCCAAAGTGATTTAGTAAAGAGTTTCGGAGCGCTTTATGACATTCCACGGGTGCAATGTATATATTCGGTACATTCCTTCAGAATTTAGGACACAATGTCTAGATGGATCTAGAATAATTTAAGAAGGAAATTTCTTAATATGTCGTACCTGTCACTGCGAAATTGAGCGAAACCGAAGCCGTTTCATGCCATCTTTTGCCGTCGAAAAATTATGATTCAGAAATATTTTATTGCTATTCTAAATTGTCAAAAATTTTTTGCTCTTTATTAAATATTAAGATTGAAGCTAATGATAAAATAAAATAAAATCCCTCTCTAGTTCGTTAGCATATTGCGTTTATGGAAAATTTAAATGTGCAGAAATATACGAATGTGCACACGCAAGGTTATACACGAGGTGTTTTTACATACGTCGTACTTGTTTTCATTCATAAAAATCAAAATTTGCACAAACATCCACGGTCTATTCATTAATATTAATCACTTCCGTGCGAATGTAATTTGGAATTTCTCCAATGAGTTAACTGTAAATTTGCATAATCACCGCTCAAGTTTATCCGAGAAATTCAAAGCGCGATATAAGAGGCTACATTACTTACGAAATGACCTGATAAAGTTGTCATCGGTAAGTACTTTCTCGCGGGCCTCAACGAAAGAAAAAGAAAAAGAAGTTAATTTGAATATTCCTCCGCGGTGATGGTAACGCGGTAACTCGGGTTATTTGAGAGAAATTTCCAGGCATATATTATACGCCTCGGTTCGTATCGAAGAGGATTTCATAAATATTAATATACACAAAGGAAAGAAAATTCATCCCTCTCCGGCGCGATTTTGTCCAGAGATATAAATATATTTTCGTGTACGTATTACACGAGGAGGCAGGCGTTAAGGGTGGGTTGGATAAAAGGGAAACCTGTCCCTGGCGGGAAATTTCTGCGGTCTCGAGAATCCTCGATGCTGTAAGTGGCAGCATTAAACGAGAGTCCTGTCTGACGATGAGAATAATTCCTGTCCCTTCCCAGCCTCCAAAGAGGTTCCGTTACAGATGGATCTCCTTGCATTACCATACCAGCAGCTGCGCCATATTTTTCCGTTATCGTGAAACATTTGTTTAAACACCAACCGTGGCATTCTTTTCGTACCTATTCATCATTGTCGCTTATCCAGACGATCGTAAACGATAGATGACGAACGATTTCTTTGGAAGACCTTTTTATAGCTGTGAATGGACTTTATCAGAAGCTCACGGTGATTTTACGTCGTTGCAATTTGACGCTCGCGCGTAATGATAATGTGTTTCGGAGCTGATGTGCTTGAGATAGACGATGTTATTTTCTACTTTGTTTTTCAGAATGGAAATTAGCAAGAGAGAATTGAATAATTAATTAATCTTCTGCATCTAGCGTCTAACCTCGACAGTTGTACGTATTACTCTACAATTGTACCGAATGAATTAGTCGTGACAATTATGAGTACCCGGATTCTAACAATAGGTTGAAGTAAATTAACTGACATATCGTTTCTCTCTCAAATAAAATTCTCATTGTATCACCTAGAATACCAAAGATATTATCAGGCAATAATGTCGTGTAACCACGTGTAATCAAGTACAAGTATCAAGTACAACAACCATCAACATCACGCAGAATCATCCAAATCTGCATAACACTTTTAATAAATCTTCACAACAGTACCACTCGAATTCATATCTGCCATCGTTCGTTCTAACCGACCTACGCATGTCGTTGAATTTCCTCTCACAATCAGCTAAGCCTAACATCTGACGTCTATGCAATGCAAGAGACGTCGACTCATTAACCCATTGGAAAAAAGGCGAAATAATGATAAAGAAAGAGTAACAATAAAAGTGCTGGTTTTTAACGTTGGAACTATCGACGACTAATAAGCATAAAATTTCCATCGGAGACGTTAAAGTAAGAAAAGCAGGAAATTTTTATAATTCAATAGGCTATACACAAGCTTTCATTTATTTTACGAAGAATCATTCAAGTCTCCAAAAATACACTGTTTCATATCTATGAAATATCTAACAAAAGATATTCAAATGGTTCAAATGTTGAGCATTTCGGTAGTCCTAGCGTTAAACGATCAAGCAGATCGTAAGCTGCGCGCGGAAAATCCTATTGATTATACTTTGGCGATAGAAAGGGCGCGCAAAGCAGCGCCGTAGGCTGCTGACGGGGCATTAACTGGCCCTCGCTCGCGATCCTCTCGATAAACGATGAATTAAGAGGAACGCTTGTCGTGAACCTAAGCGAGAAAGATGAACTCACCCTGTGAGGCGCCCGTAGAAGTCGATGCACCGCTGCGAGCTGGTTAATTAGTGGCAAGGTCGCGCTGAAGGTGTGCACAGGCGGCCTAGGTGGCTCCGGATAGGAGCTCGCATAGGCGAACGGATCCACGTCATTCAGATACTGGACTCGACAGGTAAGAGACATCTCGCGGCCCCTCTGTATCTCGGCCGCAACGGCCGATTGTTGTCCGATAAGGCCCTTTTTTTCCCCCAGGATCCAAAGAAGGCAACACACAAGCTTGTTTCGCGTCGCGCGCACAGTCCTTCTACTCTCTTCTCACTCGCGCTCGCGTATTACACACACGTAGGTGTGTATATATATATGTTTCTTCTTCCTTTCTCCTTCTGTCTCTCTTTTACCGGACCGCACGACCGCTTTACGCGAACGCACGAACCAGTTCGTCGTACCGCCGATTTATTTTCATTCGAGTCGCCGGCTACAAGCAACCGAGAAAACGAACCTTGCTCTCGTTCCTTCTCTCTCGTGCGACGCTGTCTCCACCATCCGCGTCGGCCCGCTGTTCCTTTTTCTCCGTGTCTCTTTCTTCCTCCTCACGTTCCATTCGCGTCTACCGGCTCTGACGACGAAACAGAGGCTCACGTGAATACCTTGATCGCGGCGAACCGATATTCTCTTTCTCTGCTACTGACCTTCTCTCGTCGTCGCTTCTCGTCGTCCGTTCGTGAATTTGTTTTATGAGAACGGGGGGGGGAGAGAGAAAGAGAGAGAGAGAGAAGGAGAGAGAGAAGGAGAGCGCGAGTGGAAAGCTGCCGATTTATTTTCGTCCGAGCGACGATGGAGATTCGTGACGGGGGAAAAAAGCGCCGCTATTCTGTCTCCGCAGCTTTTCGCGTTCTTCCATCGATCGATCGGTTTGGAATGTGTATCTGGAAATTCGGTTATTTAATGGTAAGGTGAGTTTCTTCGATGGCGATAGAAATACGTATATTCTTAGTAATGAACGAAAATTTGTAATAAATATAAATATTCAATAATATGATATGAAATGATAAAATTTGTGGTCCGCATGGTGCGAAAGTGGCAATATTGGAACTGTAACAACCTTTGACTCCGAACGACCAGGTGAGCAAGAAATCGTGTCGTTTTCAATCGGTCGACGACCTTTAGATTTTCCTTTCACTCTGTCTGTCGGCTTGTCGACCGAAAGTGGAAAAATCGGAAGAGATAATTTTCATTTACCTCCAAGGTTACGAACATACCGCGCGTTCTTCAATAAGCCAAATTATTCTGCACTGTGATATTTATCGAAACTAATAAATTTCACTGTAATCGAGAGCAGCGAGACATCTATGACACAGTGCTCCGTTCGTATGAACTCCATTTTTACACTGTTATTAGGATCTAATTAATTCTTGAGTACTATAGACGTTGAAACTTACACAACTACCATGAAAAATCTTACTTATAATATTTACTGCATTTGCATATCTTGTATATTAATAACAAAAAGTTTCACAGCTAATTCGACAATAGCATTGAAGAATATAAAATAAAGATAATTAATAAAAATTTGGAACGGTCTTACTCTATAATCGCTCTATAGTACTTGAGAATTAAACAAACTCCTGCTGATCAAACTCTTGTTCTAAACGAAAACTCCTATTACGAAAACTCACAGGTAATAAGGAGAATCAGTGGACTCTTACGCTATAACGACCGACTACTGTTCAGATTCTGGTAAATTTTATAAAGAATTTATAAAATATGATTTTCACTACGTACAAAGAAACGATCGTTAGACAACCTACGAACCTGCAAAAATTAAGAAAGTAAAAGTATTAAATATCTAAGTAAATAAATACAAACGATCGTGTATATCGAATCTTATCACAGTTCATTTTCTGGTGATCTAATCTCAGTTCATTAATCACTGAAATTCACATGGCGCTACAATAACGTCATCGGTTATCAACGTTGAGAACCACGTGACGCCACGATAACGTCACCGGTCGTTGCAGCCTTAATATATGTACTCCAATGATATAAACTATCTTCGCAAGTTCGTATAAACGGAGTTTTACTATACGCTAATTCCCTCGGGATATACAGAACGTACATATACAAACGCGTATACGTAAGATCGCTGTGTCTAACCTATCCCGCGCGTGAGAAATATAAAAACATCGACCTTCCATGCTGCGCGCATGACGCGAAATTTCTACACGGTGTCCAGCGAATCACAGTGCCGGATTCGGAGCGCGGCTGATTCGATCGTGTTACAAAAATTCGATCGAATCGAAACGATCCTCAGGGTTTTCGTGGACCACGTGTTACGTCGGTATTCACGTCCAGAGAATAAAATCCGGGGTAAATCGACGTCCGTACGGAATGAATTTACAAAGTGTCAATTATTCACGCATGCCAGCCAGTCTTGTCATCCCCTCTTATTCGCATTGTTCTTACCCGTTGCATGGGCTAGCACTTCTGCGAACCGGCTCGATGGTGCTTACAGGAGAGAAAAAAGGAGAAAGATGGAGAAAGAGAGGAAGAGAGAAGTATCGAATAAGCGAGAAAGACGGATGGTAGTTGG